GATAAATACAAGATGTCACACTCCCGCAAAATAGTGTTATTAAGATACCTGGAAAAAAAAACATCAAAAACACTAAAACTGGTGGGACCCTTTAACATCAAAAAAATTCAACTCCAACCATGATTTTTTTTTTTAAAATTCAAATTCAAACTCAAATCATACTTAAAAAAACACCAAATTGGTGTCGTGCAAGTGAGGCTTCCTACAACAATTGCGAGTGACCTTCATGCAAGGCTACCAAACTAATAAAAAAACATGTACTTCATTATTATGTTACCACTTTAAATACAATATTTATAATATATAAATAGTTATTATCTATATTATATTATAAAGTATTTGACAAAAACTCTTATAAACCACTTTTTATGCGTAAAGTACTGTTTATTAATGCATATTACTTAAAACTCAAAATTACAAGTAGATTGTGCGTAAGTACAACTTATTAAAGCTCTATATCTTAATTCGTGTAACTAACTGCAGATAAACATAATCAAATACAAGATAAACTTCTCATTTTAAATATAAAATATTTAAAATATAATTAAAATTATCATTGAGTTCTAACAGAATACTTAATTATTATCATTATAAAATGTTATATCATTAAACCAAAAATAAATTATTTCGTTATTAAACTTAAATTAAATTATAATAAAAAAATTAAAGAAATTACATAAAAAATGAGAACTTTTAAATAGTTTATTTGATATTAACATTGATATATATATTTTTTTTTCAAATTTTTATGATATCTTCAAATTTATATTTTATTCAAAAATAAATTCATTATTGTTTTCTTAAAAACACATAAAATAGTATTATAATATCGACAGAGAGAAATAATCAAAATAGAATATTAAAATCGAAATGAGTACTCTTCTAGTAGTTAATAAAGATTTAAGTTTCATTAAAATAAAACAATAATTCTTTTAATAAATTTTATATTGCAAGAGGAAAAAATCATTAATTTTAATTTGCTATGAAGTTATACTTTTAATACATAAAGAATATCAAGTTTTATTTTGAAATAATTATAAATTCAAACAAGTAAATGATATTAAAAAACAAAAAAAACAAAAAAAGAATAGAGCTTTTAATGAGCTACTCGAGCTTGAGGTTGTTTTTCTTGAGCTCAAGTTTAATAATAACGAGCTCGAACGAAAAATAGACTCGTTTAACTTAACAACCTGAGTTTTATAACATTAATTTTCGACTCGCTCGTTCAAAAACTCGATCCAATGTTTTGAGTCGAGTCGAGCCGAGCCATTCGAGCAATAACCATTTTTTATCCAGACATGCTCATATATTTTATTAAATATACAATAAAAATATAAACATTATCGAGCTCAAGTTGATAAACAAGTTAATCAATCAAAAGTTCGAACCCATAAACGAGCACCGAGCTCGATAACTTAAAAAATGTTCAAGCTCAAGCTCGAACCCTACATTGAAAAGTTAATCGAGCTCGAGCTTGAGCCCTAGTATTAATTTTTTTAGCCCGACTCGATTAATCTACTACTCGACTTGACTCGTTTACAGGACTCTTGTCACCCACAAACTTGGTGATTTTGCCGTGTGATTGGATATGGTGCAAAGTATCCTTATCGTGGGAAATCATATCATTGTGGAGTGAGGCATTAAAAACCAATGTACATAATAAGAAACATCTTTGAACAATCCAAGTGTTAGGATTTATCCCTGATGCCTTGTGCGATTTCTGTTTTCGTTTTGGCTTCATACCCCCAGAGTTCCAGATTATTATCAAGCTTCTCAAGATTTTTCATAACATTTTTTTAACTCTAACACTATTTAAAAGAAAATTGTCCGATTTAACCGTTTAATGTTTGTATGATAAAACAGTTTTAACTCTAGTGTTAATTAAGTCTAATATTTTTTCTTATCAGGTCTTGGTGGGATTTGAGTAGCGTTTGGAGCTTTGTAGAAGTTCCAAAAGGATGGCTTTTGAGGTGTCATCCAATTTTGAAGATAACAAAGTTGATGGTTTAGTAAACCCCCAACGTATTAGGATTAGATTATCTGTTCAAAACTCTAATACATATATTCTCTTCCTTGATAAAACTTTAAATATTTTATTGTTAAAGTTGTTTTAATTTAAGTTTTAAATTATGTATTATTTTATAAATATATGGGTGTCACACTTAAGGATGAAAAGAGAAGTGAAATGAAACCCACGCTAACTAAGGGCTTGTTTGGTTTTTTAAAATTTTTACTTAATTGTCTCTTAACTCTTAATCGGTCAGACATAAGTGATTTCAAACTGTTTGTTTTTTTTTAAATTAAGAGTTTTTTTTACCTCTTACCGTGCTCTTAAAATTAAGTGAAAATCCTATATCTGAAATCAATTTCAGAGCCGCAACCTATCTCCATCTCGCTCTCAACTCTCGATTTCTTCATCTCCATCTTGCTCTTCCATTTCCATCTCGCTCTCAGCACTCGATTTCAAGGTCTCACTCTTAGGTCTCGATGTCAACACTCATGATTTTTTGACTGCCTCTCCGTCCAAGCTCTCGATCTCTCGACTGCCTCTCCGTCCAAGCATCTCTCGATCTCTCAAGAAAGGTAATGGGTCTTGTTCTGCCTCTGGATCTTTGAGAACCCACATCTCATCTTCCCTCTCGAGCTCTTATTATATTCAATTTGTTGGTCATAAGTTCAAAATCATGAGTTAATGGTTATGTGTTCAACTCCAATTTTTTTATAGGAAGCACTGAATCAAAGCATCTCTCGATCTCTTCTTCTACCTCTCAATCTCAAAAAAGGTAAAAAAAAATGAAATTAGTGGTTCTCTGTTGGGTTATTTTGGTCAGATTTATGGCTTCTGCTACACAATGTGATGCTGGAGTTATGGTTCTGTGTTGAAGCTGTTTTTCTACTGTTTTTCTTGCTTTTGCTACTGTTTTTTCTTGCTCTTGCTTTTGGTTTTGCTAGTGTCTGTCTAGAATGAATAAAATAAGAGCTCTCCATGAAGGTATGAATATAATAACAGCATTATTCATATCAGATTGGATCCTTTCTTCTTGCTCATAGTAGATGGAAAGACATTGTCTGTTTCATATAGAGTTCAATCATCACAAAAGATTAGTCACTTTGTACATAGGTGGTAGTCGCAATTATATGGACATGTATAAATCATGTATATATGGTGGCAGTTTCTATTGAGAAAGCATATTCTCTTTTTAGGCTTGTTAAAATTGATATTGGGAAGGCCTTTACATGCTCTGCAAGTTTATTATATCGCTGCTACTTGAAATACTTGAAATCTCATGGCTTGTTAAAATCTTGACTTGAAATACTTGAAATCTCATGACTTTGATTTGGCACCCAGTAGTTGCTATACGATATTGGGTATCCTAAAATGTTAATATAACAATAAGATTTAAACCCAATACAAAATTGAGCAAAAACTGGAAGAATAGAAGCTCAAATCATCATCCATGGCGATGGGTTGAGAGAAGAATCGTTATGTGTTATGATGTTTAGGAGTGGGTTTCTGTTCCTGTGCTAATTAAAACCCTTAGTAGCAGCGGGCTGCATTATTTTTAGGCCTAGAGTTGAAACTGGCTCAACCGAATATCAGTTGGGTTCTGTGGTGGTTGATATCCAACAAATGGATCAATTTGAATTTAAAAGCAAAATGTTAATCATATAATTTTATGTGGTTCCACCAATATTGTACACAGGTATGTTTTCTTTATTGAACTTTGATGATGGTTTAGTTGCTGGAGTACATGTGAAAAAGGTGCATAACACTTTTGCATTATTATGGACTGTGAATTGTGACACCCTTCTGTTTGATGGCATCTTTTTTTATATGGACTGCTTCTGTGTTTATATTTCTTATTAGTAGGCATCTGTTTTTATATGGACTTCGTTTGATTTTGATTTTGCAATATGTGATTTTTTCTTGTATGCTAATTAGTGATGGACGAGAATGTGCGTGTGAGGTGGACAAGAATGTTTTGTGGTTCACAACTTCATATGGAAGGAAGGTTTAAGTGATGAATTATTTTCTGAGTATGATCAAACCAACGAACAAGGAAATGATGACGAGGATGAGGCTGAAGAGATTCAATCGCATGGGAGTGCCGCTGACCAAACATATATGGCTAGTTTAAGAGAAGAAATTACGACACAATTAATGCAAAATGAATATTGATTCTAGTTGTTACGAGACTTTGTTCGTGTTTTCTATTGTGTGTTGAATCAATTGACGTATTTCAATTAAATTTTTGAATGTGTTAAAAATACATGGTAGTTTACAAATGATTTAAATGATTGGATATTTCAGTTAAATTTAATTGAAATGAATTGATTCAGATTTCAGACTTCAGAAGTTTGCCAGTTTACAAAAACAAACAGTCTTATTGATTCAGATTTTGGATTTCAGACTTCAGAGGTAAAAACAAACAATCTGATTGATTCAGATTTCAGACGTAAAAACAAACAGTCTGACTGATTCAGATTTCAGAATTCAGCACAACCTCTTAAAAATCAGAAGTGAATTCAGATTTCAGACTTCAGACTTCAGCACCTCTTAAAAAACAAACGCTACCTAAAAGAACAATTTTCACAAAGACAAAAATATATATAAAAAACAACCTACGGGATTGAAAATCATAGTTTACTCAAATAATAATAATAATAATAATAATAATAATAATAATAATAATAATAATAATAATAATGTGGTCTAGGCCCAAACTGAATTAGCCTATTAGCCCGTGAGCATTTCACAGACAATAATACCATTGGTCCCTAGTCCCTACGGTGGTTTTGTTTTTATTTTTAAATAAGTGGTTTTTATTTCGTGTTTTAAAATTTTAAATAGTTCTTCGAGTTAATACTTTTAAGTCTCTCTCTGTTGTATCAATCACGTAACGTACACAACGGGTGATTTTCGTCCTTTTTACCTTGTTTTTATTATCTTTTTCTATATTTTAAATGTTCGATAATATTTAAATCAGATAAGTTTCTAAATATCGAACTCTCAAATAGAATATATATAGGGGCCATCTTGGCTAACTATGCAACCATTTATAATGTACAAAAACTTTGAACCTAGCTACTCTAGGTTTTCAATCATTCACTTCATGCCATTACATTTTTTTATTAATAAAAAAACAAAGAAAATGGACCCAAAAACACAATTTCAAAACTCGTACAAGAACTTTTCGAAAAGTGGCTGTTCATTTGCGTCTAAGCACACCGCTAATGACACACTTCTATCGTTGTTTGGGCTCGGTAGAACATATATGGTTCCTTCATACAATATGCATGCCGGTCCCATAAAGATCGGCCGACCCCACCCGAAATCCGCATCGTATACCGGTAGTCGGGTCCATGCGTTTATGTTCAGGTTCGGGCTCGCAAAGTAGCTCGGTCCACGAATCAATGCCGATAGATCCGGTTGCGATTCCAGGTAATCAATTGCAGATCTCAAGTAATCATCATCCATTTTGGTCAGTGTGGTGTGGATCAGTTTTGCAGTGTTTGACAACGATTTTGACGTAAGATCACCAGATTTGGCAACTGGGGTGGCGGTAAAGACCACGTTGCCTAGGTAGCCTGGTGGGAGCCGAGGACTCAATCGCGACCGTCCATCAGTGGCTACGTATAGTTTGCTTAATTGGTCATCTGGGAGTCCTCGAGCCTTGCACGCACAACGCCAAATATGAGCCGCCAGGATCTCATACGTGCTATGCGTGCTTCCACTTTCGCTTTTGGCTTTGGCTTTGAGACTATTGAGTTGATCGAGTGTGAGCTTTAGCATGGTGGTGGAGGATTTAGAAAGGGAACCAGAACCTGGCTTTTGAGCAGTGGTGTTCATGGAAGGCGGTGAATGGTATTCAACATGGTCATAGGTAGGGGTGGGTGGTTCCCGCGCACGTAGTAGGGTCCGTTCGATGAATGGAGGGATGGCTACAGAGAGCCCACGAGCCATATCGGACCATGTGTTTATGAAATGGAGCGAGGATAGACCATCCGACAATGTATGGTGCACACCGCAACCGAGAGCAACCCCTCCACATTTGAAATGAGTCACCTGGCGAACAAAATGCAATCAAATTGAGTAAATTGGAGTAGTTTTCGGTACCATTAATTCATTTTCAGAAACAAAATTCAAAGTCAAAATCACCAAAAGCATTCAAAATGGTAGTCTTGTTTCTTTACCTAATCTTTATATAACTACTGCTGATGGCTACTCGATTAAATTCTGAATGTTCCACAAGTTTGACCCAATACAAATCCCAAACTACCCTTACAGATCTTGTCATATATGCTTCTGTCATGGGTTCTATGAGGGTAAATACGTAATTTAACTTAAATTTTTTTCCAACTATGAGGGTATATACATTTGTTTCTTGGGAAAAGAGGATGTGAATCCAGATTAGTTGAAAGATTTAGATGGATACAACAATCTTGCCAACCCCAGATAATTTAATGAAACAGTCATATAAGAAAATTTTAATGGACCCACATAGGAAAAAATGGAAACGGTTTCATATATGCATAGTTAGCAGCCTCATTATAGAAAGAATTATGTGGGTCTCACCCATAGCGTAGTATACAAGTTTATTGAATGAAAAAGATTTATTTCATACAATAAATCAATGAAAAGTTTCTTTAAGCAAGACAAGTCAAGAAAATGACAAATCGATACCCGCTACACCTTTATAAATTTTGAGAGTTTGTGTTTATACGACTGTACACAGTTACAACCATATGAACTTGTTGATCTTTTAAGGTTTTCTTTAATTTGTGTTAGATCCAAGCAAATTAATAATACTTGAGGTCTTAAATAATATGCATCATTTTCATCAAAATGCATACTGCCTAATTATTAGTACTAAAACATTTATTTAAATTTACGTATCAGATTAGATATTGTTGGATTACTCTGGCTTTCTAAACAAACGGTTAATAGGGTTAAATTTTGCTTAAATATCCATCAGATACTTCTACAAGTAGGAATGCGTGTTACAGCTTGAATTATCTGCTGTATATCAACAAAGTTTAGACAAATCTGTTACTATTAGACCACTTCAGCCATGAATACTCCATAGATCTAGACATGGCAAGGCAAATTTTACATTTTAATGCTGGATCAACTATTATTGGAAAACAACATTCCTTGAGTTTTGATTCTGTTTGGTGCTAGCACTTTGACGACAATTTAAAAGTGAATCACTGTGATCTGGACCTCATAGTTGATCGAAGATCCGATAAGAAAAGAATAACCGATTTGTATTTTTGAAGTAATCGTAATTGTTTCCACTAGTATGTCCTTTTTAACCTAAGTTTCTGATTTAAGATGATTGAATTTTTTTTTTCATCTATGAAGACGAGTGGGAAACCAAACCATAGCAATCAATGCACCAGCAGTGTTAAGATATTCAAAGCTTGAAACAGAGTAAGCAAATCTGAGTAAATTAGGGCATGTACCTGTGCAAAAAATAGCGGATAGGAAGAAATATCGCCGGAGTAGTCAACAGAAGGAGTAAGTTGGCGGAATTCCGGCGACGGCTTGAGCTCGCCAAAGTCGTCCAAGGTGGAATCCGACTCGGCCTCAACAAACAAGACGCCCTCATTGTTACAATTAATCACAATCCTGTCAGTCTCATCTCTACCTAATCGCCCGGCCATCGGATAAAACGAGACGAGCACATCAGCAAGCGCCTTTTTCATAACGTTTGGATCAAAGAACTTGGAGGATCCATTTGGTCTGTAGAAATAGACAGTGAGAATATGGATTCTACCAACAACTAAGTCCAAATTGGAGGTCCATAACTGCTTAGGACAGTCTGCTATGAGTTCTGAAGGAGGAACAATTGATGATTTCATTATATCGATGTTCATCATCATCTTTTGATCACTTCCCATGGTGAAATGGAGAATGAAGAAAGGAAGGAAGAAGAGAGAATTGGTTTTGAGAGCACACACTGTCCTCTCTTCGATGCGTGTATTTATATGGAAATCAGAAGGTAGATGGTGGGGGTGGGTGTTCAATTTGGAAGGTGTTCGTGTTTCCATGGAACTTTGATTAATTTATAATTTTTCTTTTTTCTTTCACATTAAATATAATTATATTATGTTCTTATAAATTTAACAAAATAAAATAATAAAAAGCAAATTTTTTAAATTTATTTATTTAAGTTAACTATTTATATAGAAAATATAAATAAAGCAAATAAGTTAATATTTGTAATTGAAAGGGCATTTAATAACACATAGGAGGTGTTTGGATTGTTTATAAAAACAATTTATTGTTTTATTCCGGTGTGACATAAATCCATCGTGGGGTGTGGAGGGTTTTGATCCTTTTGTTCCGAGAGGAATAGCCTCTCTTCATATTGCAGCGGGGACTTTGGGTATATTAGCATGTCTATTCTCGGTAATAAGCACTTTTGAGTGTTTGGATAAACAGTTTATACCGGTATCAAACCGGTAATAAGAAGTTTTTGAAAAAGTTAAACCATTCTAACTTATAATAAATTGATAAGCACTTTTGTATAAAAGCATAAGTTGTTTCAAATAAGCAATTCCAAACACCCTTATTACCTTATAGTATCGTGATAATCTTGAGAACCAATAGATTGTGTTATTTTACTTTATTTTTGTATCAACATCTTAAATTTAGCGTATCAATTAACATATATGTGTTCTATTATGTGTTTGTTTCACAATTTCAATATTTTTTATGTGTTTATGAAACAAAAATTAAAATTAAAAAGTTTCACGTTGTAAACTGAATACATATGAAATAAGTACAGCATGAAACAAATATATGTTAGTTACTATTTTAAGTTCTAGTCTAAGATGAAAAAATCATGTAAAACAATATTTTATATAATAGTTCTCACAGTCAAGGGCGGAGGCAGGATTAACGGTTAAGGGTAGCATTGAGTATCGATAAATAAAATAAATATTAATTGTTTTTAAAATAATAATCTCAAAGATATTATTTATAGTGAATGATCGTACGAAAATGAAAATTAAAATGAGAAGTATAAGAATATTAATCCATAAATTACGTTTGATACGAAAATTAATCAGGTGGATCTCAACATGATACTTGTATTTTTGGCTCACCACATATACATAAACATTCATTAAATAAATTAATATGTTAAAATAATATTACAATATTTTTGTTAATAGAATTACAGGAAAATGTAGTATTTAATATAATTATTTATAGTCCGATCTTGACATCTCAGAAAATAAGTTTTGATTTTTTTTATTGAAATTTATATTATTATTATTATTATTATTATTATTATTATTTATTATTATTATTATTATTATTATTATTATTATTATTATTATTATTATTATTATTATTATTATTATTATTATTATTTATGTAATTATTAATTTCCAAGAGAGAAGCGGCAGCTGTATAACCATCACAGATTTTATTTTCTATGGATCTCTTCAATTATTTATTAAAATATTAATCAATAATATATATTATCATGTGAAAGTGAGCGGCATTCGTCACGTGATTTTTTTTTGTTAATTGAATTATTTAATAATAACCTATGGAAAATAACTTTTTTAGCAGGCTATTTCTCGATCGGTATAGCTGTCGAGCATACAAAGAGTAAAGAGTTAGGTCTTGTTTTACAATTATTGAATGTTTTAGTGTAAAATGATTAAATAATCAGAATAATTAAGAGACTTTCATTACATAGTACAAAATAAAATATAATTATTTAGTAATTATTTACAACGAAATTATGACGTTGAATGGTTCAGAAAGACCCATGATACAAAATCATTCAGAGGGTTTTAGAACAATTAAGAGACAGACTTTTTTTTTTACCAATCAAGATTCATCTCTTAGCTGATTTTCTGTTATTAAAAAAATTATTTTTCAGAGTAAAAAATATAAGTTATATCAGATCAATGTATATATATAGGTAGGTAAGAGTTGGATTTACGTGAAACCAGCATGTTTTCGTGAGACATGTGAGACCAATGTCCAAATAAATAGGCACGAGAACGTCTATATCAATGGGATGTTAGACTAAAAATCACGTTTGATTCATGTTCGATCAACAACATGCACAATTTTTATGCACCGAATTAAGAGGTCGTTTACCAAATGCTTAGCAAAGGTAAGCACTTACCAAGTCACATTACCCTACCTATGGCAAGAACCAAAAATCTGGTAGGAGCAAAGGCGAGGACCGAGAATTTTACCCGGTAAGTGAGGGTGACGACTATTAGCATTTATCGGGTAACATGTTGTATACAACAGCATTTTGGTGGACAAAAATTTACCGGCTAAATAATAATGTTGAATTTTACCGATAAACTCTTATCAAGATAAATATTACGTAAACGACCCTTGAGTGTGGTGTTAGACCAGATCTAATTTACATGTCTCATGCGTATGTATGTGTAGGAAAGAGTTTAGAAAAACACGGTTTGTAATTAGTGAATAATCTTGTACCATTTAATTAACAAAGAAATAAACACTAGTTTTGAAAACACTAATCATATATTTTTATTTTAAAAGAATTAAAGAAATATTTAAAATTAAAATTCAGTTATTATGTGATTATTTACATAAAAACTTACCTAATCCCCAATTATTTACAATTTTAATCATAAAAGACTCCTTGATTTGTTCGTCTTGCTTTTACTGCTATACCCGGAGTTACTCCATGTATCGTTTGTCAAGTCCTGATAAGGTTCTTCGCTTTATATCAAATTAAAACAAAGAATATTACTACTGTGTAAATGAAAATTTCTGCTTATTCATCTGTCCGGCTGTCACAACCATCTTGGATATGTTTTGATTTTCTTTTCCTAAAAACCCAATACTAAATAAATAAAAATATATTTTTATTAAATTTTTTTTAATTTTTCGTACACTAAATTTGTTGATATAAAATTTTCATCTGCTAACATAGAGATCGAAATTGTGATTAGAGACGCAAACGGATCGGTGGGGTATCAAGGACCCGAATCCTTAGTACCTGTTTTTATTTCCGTCAAGAAATTTTCATTGTTTCTTACAAAATCAAAAAAGGAAGCTCAATAATGGATTGAAGAAGATGATTTGAACTATAGCTCCAACTTCATTGTTCATTTATCTTATTGTTTTTATGGTTTGTTTGAGTATTAGTCGACTCAGGATATAAAAGTCTAAGACGAAAGATAACTGGTAGAACATATTTAAAATAAATAATACGGAATTTATAGCAGTAAATAATTTAATCTGAAACTTTTATAAAAATAAAAAGGCAATTGGAAATCAAGAAAGAAATAGAGAGGTTGCAATTAACGAGCATCAGTTTTAATGAATCTGTGGTTACATCATTGGTTTCAAATTCTCATTAGATTCATTTGCACCTATTCACCTTATAAATAATGTAAACGAATAGGAATAGAAGAAGTTAAAGATGAGATTGACAACAACATAACAGCTATTAAATAAACAAAGATAGAAACATAAACTAATTCATTATGCCAAAGAAATATAAACTAATTCTTAAACCTTTAAAACTTAAAAGCTAATATATATATATATATATATATATATATCTATATAGGGGCTGGTTCAAATACTAATCAAATATTTTGTGCAAACTATGCTAACCCATCTTAATCGTTCATTTTCTCATCTAACGGTTATTATTAAATGAGATTAAATAAACAATAATTTAATTAATATATTAATTAATATATGTATGAACAATTGTTCAAATGATAAATTGGTCAAAAATTTGTATTAATTAATATGTGTATGAACAATCGTTCATCTTCGTGCCTATATCAAGGTATGAACATTCATGTGAACCCTATGGTGTGAACCCTAGATATATGAACATTAGTTACACCGTGTGAACCCTTAAGGGTACTCGCGTAATGTAACAAGATACATCTTGATTTTAATATTTCATTTTATTATTTATCTCAGTCGATGTTATAGTATGATTTTATGTGATTTTGAAAAAACGATGTTTTTATTTTTGAATAAAATATAAATTTGAAGATATCATAAAAATTTGCCAAAAATATATCGATATTAGTATCAAATTAACTATTTAAAATTCCTATTTTTTGGGTAATTTTTTAATTCAATTTTTTTTGTTGTAATTTAATTTAGGTTCAATAACGAAGTAATTTATATTTGGTTTAATAATATAATTTTCTTATAAAGATAAATAATTAATAATTTTGTTAGACCTCGATAATTATCCTAATTATATTTTAGATTTTTTATATTTTAAAATGAGATGTTTATCCTCTATTTGATTGTATTTATCCGCAGTTAGTTACACGAATTCAAGCATGAAGCTTTAATAAATTGTACTTATGCATAATTTACTTGTAATTTTGAATTTTAAGTAATATACAGTACTTCATGCATAAAAAGTTGTTTTTGAGAGTTTTTGTCAAATGTTTTATAATAATATATATATATATATATATATATATATATTTGAATTATAAATTTTTGAATAAACTAAGGGGCCGTTTACCAAACGCTTATCCGGGTAAGCGCTTACCAAGTCACATAACCTCACCGAATCAACATTGTAAGGACCAAGAATCTTACTCGGTAAGAGTGAATGCAAGGACTGAGAGTCTTACCTGGTAAGTGATGACGACGACTCTTATTACGGTTAACACTTACCGGGTTAATTGTTGCATACGATACTGTTTTAGTGGACTAATATTTTACCCGGTAAATAATTGATAGTTCTAAATTTTACCGGTAAACACTTCTTTAGATAAGTATCGGTAAACCGCCCTAAATCCTTTAAAATCTAATCTGAATATGGCTTGACTTTATTCGAAAGCTTCTAGAACAAAATCCCACAACCACAAGCGTTTTCCACACATATATTTCCCTTTTAAAATAAATATAATAAGGGATATTAGGATTTTATTTTTTGTGAATCTTGCACGTATT